TTTCACTCAAAAGCCTGATTTTATAAACAATGAATGGACTATCCATAGTAAACACATTCAAAACCACATTTTAATGTATTGTGTAGTTTTCTATGGATTGGAGGACAAACATGACGCGTCTGTGCGTGGCGTTAAAAAGTTCGGTAATTTCGTGAAGTGATGGTGTTCCACACAAGGTGCAAAGATAGTTTAATATCATTTTGTTTGCCTTGTTATCCTTCAGTTATCCAATTTACTTTAGGTAGTTAAATGCTCACTCACGCCCCCAATTTACACGATGATCGGTTAACCAATGTGATAGTAAAGTTAAACTATGGCTACCCCATGTGCCAGTGTACTTAAATGACAGGGGTGACACTTTTTTTGCTAGGGGAGTATACATGGATAATACAAACACAATTATTGCTGGACACATATTCTTCCAACACATCATTTATTTTTTAGATTTCCGAAGGGACATATCGGAAAGGCTTACGGAATTCAAGTTTCCGTCGCTAATATATTAACTTTTGTTCAATTACCGATATTCTCTTGGTACAAGTACAGCCTGGAAAGTGACCCTCTCTGGGTAGGTATAGGAGCCTTTGTCTCACAGCATTCTAGACCAAAAAGTATGTAACATAGTAATGCAGAAACTAAGACCTTAAGTTAAAGGGATAATGACTGTTCGTTTTGGCCAAAAAATGAGTTTTCCTGGAGTAAACAACAATTGTCCCATACTTACCAATGGTTATTGAATCCATATCTACATTCAAAGTTAGTTCCTGTTTTTTTTTTTTTTTTTTGTTTTTTTTTTCAAAAGTTTGGCTTAAGAGATTATTACAGAGTATAGCCATCTATGGAGGACACGTGGTATGATGACAAGCTCTGATATCAGAATAATAGCTATAACTGCCTTTTTTGTAGTAAAACAGAATATATTATATTTCTTTGAATTGTTTCCAATGTTTTTTTTATTATTATTAATGTGAAATATAGATCTCATACGAATAGTTATTATCCCTTTTATTCCTATAAACTTAAACCACTCGGTTTTTAGTTTTGGAAAAAGGTCGAGGCACTGTAGAGTTCTTTGCCCAGCTAACAGTTGACTTAAGACCATTTTTATTTCGATATCTTTCAGGATCACATTTTTTCCAAGAAATTATAAAGAATGGCACAATTACATTTACAAATATATGATGAGGACACATCTTCGTGATAGATTATTATTATTATTATTATTATTATTATTATTATTATTATTTGTTTACAGTTGGGAGTACTGTTCCTTGGAATTTGTCTCACCGCCAGCTGCTTGCCTTTCTACCTTCTTTGGCGTCGGTGTCGCTCCACGAGGAATAAGAGCTATAGTCTTTAGATAACAGTCAAAATATGAGTCAGGTGATGACCTTGCGGTATCTATTGTATTGCTGAAAGTTTGTTATGGCGACGGGACAACAATGTATCTGCAGAAAGACAATATATTGGGAGATATCGTGCCCTGTTAGAAGGAGACCTGCGTGCTCGGCAGTTACTGTACGTAATTGTTTCTTACTGCTAACGTTGTTTAATAGCCCTGACAGTACTAGCAATACGACTTTACTAGATAGAAAGTCACTGACAGCTGAGAAGTGGCATTTGCCAGATGTTTCAGCAACAGAACCGATTCTTCAATTCTTTATCAAGGCTGTTGTACGCATAAACGACATTTTCAAAGTCTGTTAAGTATGTTAGGTGTTTTACAACCTCCAGTTTTTGGCGCTGATACATATAAGGGAAGCAGTTTTTGAGACAATGGCGCTTATGCCTAGGCCTCTAGCTGCTAGATTAAAGTGGCATTGATTGAAGATGTGCCTCTGAAAACGCTTAAATTGCAGAGTCATATGCGTTTGGTAGTCCTTTGCAGTTTTGCATTCAGTCTTTGTTATCGCTTTTATTATTTCATTCACTAACTGAGGATATATTAACTGAGGATATAGTAACATAATATAGATCGTTTCAAACCATTTCCAAATCTGATTGTACTTTATTTTTATATATTTTGACCGCTAACCACACTAAATGTGCCAATTTTTCGAATGTTGTCAATAAAAAACCTAACTTACTCTCCTTGCTTCATGTTAAATATACTGAAATTTGGTTCAATTAACAGTACCTTACTTTAAAAAAGTTAAAATAAGATTAAAAATGGCCGTATACCCGAAAAACTCTCTGCTTAAAATGTCTTTCAATATTAGATTCCAATTTAATTTCACAGCATCATCTCTACGGATATTATCAATAATAGGTACAAATACATAACATACCATTTGTGGTTACGGTAAAGTAAAAACCTGCAGCACTTAAATTTCATCTGTATGTCTATATTAATTAAATAGAAACAAAAATAAAATTTTGAAAAAAAACTGAACATTCAAAACTTTAATGTTAACATCTTTTGAACGAGATAGGAAATCGGAAAACTGAATTAATATCGTCTGCGTGCAGGTATTGCTCTGCCTGTCTAACCCCAATTTACAAGCCACGCTACCCTGGAAGTGTTGCAATCGAGCATTTTCTTTCCTCCACCTGAACCGCTCTTCATGACCCTAGATTTGCACGCAAGTCAGGTAGAGAGGTTACACATCCTTTATGACTACACCTGAGGTCTTCTAGGAAGGATGTCCCGGTTGACGGTAGATCTAAAGGCAATATCGATATAGTGGCAACACACACTGATCTGTAGTCTCACTCATTTTAAGTAGAACCAGGGGATTCTTTAGAAGACAAGCTACGGTCCAGCTACGACTGACATACCGTGGTACATCTTCAACAAGGCAGGCGTAGATTGATTACATAGTTAAGTGTTACATTAACTCTAGCTGGGTGCAAATGCCTCGCGAACACACTGTTGTATCGGTTTACAATAGAGTAACTTGCACATACATGTAACTGCCACGTCTTTGCTACGATTGGTGCTACCGGGTCCAAGTGAATGACCGAGCAACCCGCAGCCCGGGTGACTTCCAGGACAGGGCATTAACTCGTTACATTTTGCACGGAGTGATCGACATGGCACAATCCACGTGTTGGAAGCTATTGTGTACCGTTCTGGGTATCTTAGAGGCTGCATTCTACATTGTCACGGTCTTCGGATGGCCAGCGCTTGTGTTCATATTCGTAGAGGTAGGATTTTATGGTGATCGTTGTTATTTTGATTCTGGGATAAATAGGTTTAATTGTATCGGTCTTGCTACTAGTAACTGCACCCAAGAAGCAGCTGAAAACGCCCGAGTTAGCAAGTGCACTGAGCAAGAAGAGCTGCTAAACCTGGTTTACACTGTCGCTATTGTCGGTTTCGTCTTTCCCCGTATATATCTATGATCACTGCGGGACCGTTTGTGTGAGGATCCTATGTATGCAAGTGGATAAGAAGGCAATGTGCTTTTTAGAGTCATGTACAACGTGTTGTATCTCCAACGAGGTATGTTTATTTAGTTTGCAATTCACTGCTACTTTAGGGTCGTCCAGGTTGAATGAAGTATAACCCACCCCATTCAGAAAAAATGAAAAAAAAGGAAATAAATAAATAAAAATAAAAAAGGCATGTATCGATCCAAATCTGAGTTGACTCTTGCTACGTGTAATCAGCTCTCTCTCTCTCTTTCTCTATTTGAATAGATAAATATTTACAAAATCTATTACATACAATTACAGAGTTTTTGTTTTCTTAAAGATTGATGTGTGTTGGTGAATGTTTCTTGGTGGGGTCAGTGGGAAAAGGTTCGAAAACTGAATACGACATTTCCTGAAAATGGACATATTAACTCAAAACAAAAACACTTGCTAACATTTAAACCAAATATTTTACCTTCGGGAGAAGGGCTGTTGCCAATCCCGGATTTGAGATAACCACTTTACTGTCTAAGAGAGAAATAAAGAAAGAGAGTCAGTACGAGACAGAGTTATTAAACCAATTTAAGGTATTGATTTGAGGTTGGAGGTTTTCTTCAGTCAGAGACGAGACGAGTACCAAAGGTGAAACAATGAACCTACCAGTAACTGCCCCCAGCCCCGATTATTTTTTTCTCAGCTCGATCTCGTCCCAGTTACAGACTTTCGCTTTTATACTTTTGCTAAGAGACCTCAGCTCAATTATATAAATAGTTTGAAAAATTAATAAAAAATCAAAAAAATCATGTGTAAATGCACTCTAAACAGCTATTTGGAATGTTTCCATTAACCATATAATAAACAAGGTATAAATTGTACCAAAATAATAATAAGATAACAGTAAAAACTGAATTAAAATACAGCACACATAATTGTTATGGTCATAACAGTTAGGGTCAATAATCTAAAAATCACCTAAAAAGCACTTCATATATGATTTTGTATGTGATAAAGAACTTGTATAGAATTCAATGCAAGAGTTATTTAGTATACAAATATGAGAATAGAAAATGTATAAGAAACAATAGATAATCAATCAGATAATTAACCACTTGATGTTGGTAAATGCGAGGCATCCAAACAGCCTTTTCCACAACATAATTTTCGATTGTATCCCTGCCTCATGGTAAACCCCATATACCACAGGACTGAAGTGATATGTGCACAACTTCCAACTGTCTTGGAACCCGCTTTACACTGGCAGTACCAGCCACTGATGGGTCTAGTTTTGCTATGGGAGATTTGAATCCATAATGTGTACTGGTGGCTAGATGTGTGCCTTAATAAACTATTTTGGCTCTGATTAAATCAGATGCATCCTTGCATACACTGATTTCAAACTGGCCATCTAGCAGATGTTCATCAGTATATTGGCTAGCTTGCTTTATCTGGTAAACTTCTGGTAATTATTATAGGCTGTTGGTCTCTTGTTTGGACTATTTATTAAATCAATAGGTTTTCACTGATCTCCTTGAAAAATGAAGCCATCCATAGCATTTTGTTGATAAATAAAAGAAAAAAAGCTATTCTGAATAGTGCTGGTGTAGAAGATTAGGTCATAAGTAACAAAACTAGGGTGTGTGTGATGAATTAAGCCTTTTATTTTACTTTTTATGCAAAATACATGTAGACGTAAAAAGGGGATATTTACACAACAATTTTCGTTGTACAAAATGAACTTTCATGCCCATTAGAGGGGGTTGGGTCAAGCCACCCTTATGTGTAGAGGTCTATTACAGCATTGGTCTCTATATAAAATAGGAGCCAACACAATGTACATCTGCTATTATGATAATTAATATAACATTGAATATCTGAAGCACCTTTCAATTTAATCTTCCTTAATCCTAAGAAATAAGAATGGAAATAAGATATACTTACTGTATTTGTACTCTATTTCCTATCCATTTATTTTAATAGCATGCATTACATGAAAATTACTTTTCTTATTTTGGTTGCAATTGAAAATATTTTACTGACTCTAACCCCTATTTTCCTTTCAAAGGCCTACATTTTTTGGGGGTTGTTCTTTTTGTACAAAAGATTCACTGTAACTGCCTAGTCATCCTGTGTAAGTATGTAGCAGCTACCTCATGGCAGGAATAAACATGGCCGACTGCTAGCATATGGACTGAAAATGTCCCTATTTAGTTTGAGTACATATCAAGCCCAACCCTAAGACAAGCTGATTTTCACATATACCTGTATCTCATTTCTACAGTGTACTCAACGTTTATAAACTTGACTGCATTCCTCGTGAGTACCTGTAAACCATTGCGCAGTTAATGACAAAGCTGAGATTTAATGTTGTAAATTAATGTCATATTTACGTCATTCCTAATGGAAGTCTGAAGAAGCAAAACACATTAGTGACTCAAACTATTGGAGTAATTAGTGCATAACTATGTGGCGGTGTTGCGTAACTATTGGCACAAGGGGGCCACGGTGAAAGCAGACGGCAAACATGGCAAACACGTGTTGGAAACTTTTCTGTACCGTTCTGGGTATCTTAGAGGCTGCTCTCTACACTGTCACCGTCTTCGGATGGCCAGCACTTGTTTTCTTATTCGTAGAGGAAGGATTTTACGGTGATCGCTGTTATTTTGATTCAATAACTAACGGTTCTGATTGTCTAGCTACTATTAACTGCACCAACGAAGCAGCCGAAGACGCCCGAGTTCAAAAGTGTATTGAGCAAGAAGAGCTGCTGAACTTGGTTTACACCGTTGCTATCATTGGTTTGGTGTCTTTCCCCATGCTTGGATATATTTATGATCACTGTGGAACCGTTTGTGTGAGGATCGTATGTATGTAAGTATACTGAAATCAGAGGTACAGGCCTGAATTATTTTTCTTATTTCTTAGTTATCTATATTCGGTTTGATACTGAGCTATGATAGACAAATATATGACGTTTTATTTCAAGATGATCTTCCTATTAAAGCAATGGACCGTGACATTGACAGGTCAGCGAAAGGTGCGAAAAACTAGCTTTTTAGCCTCGCTGTCAATATTGCAATATTACTCTTTTCAGGACCATCGTCAGGTCTATATGGGTTTCTATGCGTGTCCATGTGTATTAAACTTGACTGTCACGATATAGTGGAAAACTATATAATTGACTTTTTGTGCTCCCTCTTTTTCTTTATGAACATTTTTGGAAATGATATGAAAACGTTTCATGAGTACAAGGCGACAATTTTAATAGACATTATATTGGAAGCAATACATGTAAGATTTGTTTAATTCTTGCTTTAAGATGCCTTTGCGCTGGCGGATTCTTCCTGATGGCGTTAGCAGAGAGAGGTAGGATACAAAACGAAACCTTTCTAGAATATATACTAACTTGAAAATAGGTCCTACGCTAACTTATACAGTCAGTAAGTTTTCTAAATTAAATAAACGTGCTGCCACAGTCTGTAGAATAAGGTTAATGTGTAATTGGCGCTGAAAAGACCAATGTGAAGGTCATTCACTAAACAGGTGCACTGTACGCATTAACCTCAATAAAGAGAAAAGTAAATTTTGTTGAAATTAAAATAAAAACACCATTCAGGTATAAAGCGTTAAATGTTTTGTTCGAGCTTAACTTTGTCGTGAACTTGGAAAATATGGCGACAAGGTAGTGACATATATGAAGGTTATACAACGGCGGTCCGAAGCGCACCGATAGGCCCCTTCATGTTCAACGAATGAGATTATCTTTGGTCCTATTCAGAATAAATGACCCGAGTACTTAGTGATCCGCCGATTAAATATGGCCGACCACACTTAAAAAGCGATACCGCTGATTCCCGATGGTCGCCCCGCCTTTACGGATTTAATCTCGGCTCCGAGGTTTAATTGCTAGGCTCCTGCATCGACGGTGCATGGGGAGACCATCATGGAATTATAGAGACATCGCTTTTGAAGAGGGGTCGCCCATATTCAGTCGGCGGATCAGTTAGTACTCGGGTTTTCTATTCTGAATGGCCCCTTTATGCGCTATAAACATTATATTTAAAAATACCAAAAAGACTTGATGTTTGTCATTTAAATTTGCAATAAAGAAATAATAATTGTTTTCATCTTATAGGAACAGAGTGGCTGTTATTCCCTGGAGCTCTATTTCACCTGCTTGGAGGTCTCCAGTTGGCTATAACTGACGTCCAGGTGTCCACGTTATTTCCTAAGGCACAAGCAACGCTCACCTGCTTGGTTTCCGGTGCTACTGGTGTCAGTGCTTTTGCCCCCAGCTTATTGAAGGTAAATGACCTATACATAGCCTCGCTCACAAACAAGCACATGCACTGGTACGCACACATCAGCCTACATCAGAAATTGTGGCAACAACACTACGGAGACATAACCAGGATTATTTTAAGGGGGGACTGCAGATGTTTAGCCGACCCCCCCCCCCCCCCCCC